TGCGCCGTCGCGGAGTCCGCGCACTCGGCGTGCAGCAGGAAGGGCTCCAGAAGGAAGGTGGCCAAGGTGCCTCGCAAAGGGCTCTGGCCGAGGTCTGCGCCGTGATCGCCGCTCCACGACGGACTACAAAGACTTTCAAGATCTGCAACCCTCGACTGGATCAGCATCAAAAGTTGTTGACGCCCCCTTGAATGTCCCTCCCTTTCGCCCCTCCGATCAAGTTTCTGCAATGACCGACATTGGAGAGCGGGCGCCAACAAACACTTCGTACGCAACGTGCTTTTGAGGTTAATTCTGAGGGACGTCAGTAGTAGGATCCCACGCACTGCAAATCAGGCAACGACGTAGAATGGGGACAATGCGCTGCAATGTCCCTGCAAGGATGCGCGGGCACCGCCCGACTGCCGCGACCAGGACCTCCACCTTTACGTCCACCTCCTCTTCCTCCTTCTCGTCCTCCTCGTCCCCATCCTTCCCATCTTGCTGATGCTGTTCCGCCACCACCTCGTCCACCCCCCGCTTCCAATCTGCCTTCCTCCTACTCCTCGGCGTCCTCCTCCAACTCCGGGCCCTCGGTCGCCCCATCATGCCTTTGGTTTTCTTCCGCCATTGGCGCATGCTCCTGCACCTTCGACGTACAGTCAACCCGCGGAGTAATAATGCACGATAAGGATGCAAGCGCCTTGGAAAGCCAGACGATTTTCGATTCGAAAGGGGACCCTAAGGGGCTGGCCAGCGAATGTTGCCAGGGATGGACCGAAGGGGCAAGGATGCAAGGGTAACCTAGGACAAGTTGCTCACCCTTGCTCCGCGGGTTGACTGTAGTGCACGTGCATCCTCCTCCTCCTCCTCATCATCCTGGCCATCCTGCCTGTCTTGCGCGATGGCTCACGCACGCCGCTCGCACGGCTGACTGCGCGAACGAATGGGCGCCGACGCTTCACCCTCCGCGGGCAGCTCGCGCGCGAGCGCGAGCGCAACCGGCCCCCTTCAGGACCGCAGGTGACAGGACAACGAAAAGAGCACGCGCACACGAGGGCACGAAGAAGGAGACGAGTGGCGGGACAGGACCCCCGAGGCACGCACACGAGAGACACGCGACAGGACAACGAAAGAGTGATGCACGCTGAAGCCGCTCGCACGGCACCGCGCGAACATCAGGGCGCTTACGCGCCACCTTCCACGGGCAACTCACGCGCGAGTGCCCGCGCAATCAATCCCCCGGGAGGGGGGTAAGGGAGAACGGTCCGGACCCCCAGCTCTCAAGGGGGGGGGGGGCGGGGGGCGGCATGGAGCTTGATTCGGCGATGCATCGCCGATGGATCCGCAAGAGGCTCCCGATAGCAACTCCTCACGACCCTGGGCGGGGTGGGCCATCGGGCTCCCCTCGGCAACGAATGGGCGATGGGGGGTCCCTCGCGCTGCCCCTCAGGGGGTGGGAGGTGGGGGTCGGGCAAGGACGGGGAAGGATGTTGATGATGATGGTGAGGATGGCGGAAGGGGCGGAAGGGAGAGAGAAGGAAGAAAGAAAGCAAGAAGCACACACGAGCCACCTGAACAAAAATATCACCCGCACGGGGGGGGGGTCGGGCAAGGACGGGACGCCCGGAGTTTCGGCACAGCCTTAAGGTGGTGGCGGATGAGGGAGAACCCGCGCCGCCGAGGTGCCCGCCATCGCAGCAGAGGACTGCGGAGGCGAGGGGCCTCCCCTGAGAGCTCGTCGCGGGCCTCTTCGGTGCCTTTTCTTTCTTTTCTTTATGTATGTCGTTGCATGCTGACTCTCCCCAACCGCCGCTGCACCAGGGCGCGCTGGGCACCACTTCTCTTCGGAGGCGCCCCGCGCGCCCCTCGCCTCAAGCAAACGAGTAGCAGAAACCACTCATGGTGCCTGTCCCTGGTCTGTCATACATGAGTTCCCGACATCCTTCTGTCAAAGCGCCAGGGATGTTTCTAATGCATCGCCTTAAACATCAAAGCTGACTGCGCAGAGGCTGACCGATTCTGGCGCACCTGCCTTGGGAGGATGAGGAAAAATGGTGGGGGAGGAGGAGGAGGAGGAGGAGGAGGAGGAGGAGGAGGAGGAGGGAGAGGAAGTGAGGAAACGTGGGGTCGCGTCTGGTTCAAAACGGGCACCCAACGTCAAAGTATGGCCAGGGATGCCAGGGAGCGTGCGTTCTGGCTGATCATTCGAATATGGCCGTTGAAAAAGTATTTGCTTCTGGCTGATCATTCGAATATGGCCGTTGAACAAATATTTGCGAACTCAAACTCACCATCGATAGAAGGCGGTCCTCCTCCTCCTCCCCTCCCCCACTCCTCCTCCTCCTCCTCCACCTCCTCCCTCTGCTCGCAACACTTCCTACAGAAAGGCACTCAATTCGACAGGTCCCGTTGTCCTGGCGAAGACCGTGCGCCCCGGCTGCTGGGCCCACCACTGAGCATACTGCCACGTTGCCTCGGTCTTCAACACCGCCGTGAAACTCCATAACCCACCTGTGATGACCTCGTTCGACTCGTTCTCCTCTTGGAGCAAGCCGTCGAGCGTCTGATTGGTCTGCTGCTCTTGCACCACCGTGTATCTGGCGCTGTCCTCGAGCGTGCCGGGGTCATAGTTGAGAATCTGCGCGTAGGTCAGAGTCTGCCACAAGCCTCTCTTGGTCAATGGGTCGTAAACATAATACTTACCATCGCCCGCGCACCCGCCAATCGTCAGAACGTGGCCGCCACCGCCGAGCCAGAAGACGGCGAAAGCGATTGGGTACCCCATATTCACGGCTGCGTCGAGGGCCTCCTGCTCCAAGGGCCACCCATCGAAGCCGATGTAGTCTTGCTGCGACAAGAACGAGATGGCTTCGATGATATCATCCTGGCCAGCCGCAGCGTTGTTCCCGTAACAATCCTCGTTGGACGCACCACAACAATAAGCGGGATGGAACTGGCTAAACATGTTGCCAACCGCTCGGCAAGACATGGCTTTGCAATTGTCCTGATCCGCTTTTTCCTGCGTCGGCTGGAAGAAGCCCGCAATCACAGCGGCGGTCGTGGCCCAGCACCACTCGGGTGCCAACTGAGAACACGTGGCGATACTCATCGTAGAGTTTGCCGTGCACGCTCCGTTGTAGCTAGCCCCTCCCCTGTCTCGGTCTGCCGCAAGCTGCTCTGCGAGGTTTGCCAGCAACCCCGCGTTTGTGTCGTTCGGCGTCGCGTCCACGACTGCGCTGCCGTTCACTACGCGGTCAGCCTTTTCTGGGGTCTGCTCGTGGGCGTTCCGGCTGTGACTCTGCAGCAGTCCGATTCCGTCGTCTTCCTCCTCCAGCGTGCACCCGATCGCTCGTGGCGTCTCTGCGGCAGCACTCGCCAGGAGCAGTAGGACGACTGACACGCACGTCATGCGAGGTCGAGGAAGAAGAGCTGCCTCTTCGGATGCAGCTCGAGAAAACGATCGCTTGACACCAGACCTAGTCGGAGTCTGGGGCCCAACCGACTTGAGCCAAAATGGTTACGGACTCTTCGGTGCCTTTCCTGGGCCTCTCGGGGGCCCTCAAGCGCCTCTCGGTCTCAGGTGCCCCTCGATCTGTTCACGATTTGCAAGCTTTCTGGGGGCCTCCTCGGGCCCTCCTGGGTAACTGTTTCAATCCTCTTGGAGACCTCTGGGGTTGTCATGGAGAACTCTGGAGACCTCTGGAGACCTCGTGGGCCCTCATGTAGCGTCGATTGGGCCATCTCGAGGCCATGTTGAGGCCTCAAGAGCACGTCGGGAGCGAAAAGGCCAAAGGACGCAAACCAATAGTAAGCTTCTTTGTGTTATTGAAAGAATATGGTCTCTCGGTGGCACTGTTGGGGCGTCGAAGATCAATCTGGGCTTCGAGACCTGGAAAGCCAAGTCTGGTTCCATGATACATCCGTCTTGTCGCCCGCGTCAACGTTAGGGGAAGTCCCTCTCTGAGGGTCTGGACCGAGGATTCGCGAGGCGTTGGACCGTCGAAGGCGGTCCAAAATGATCCCCAAATAGCATTAGATGGCCTCCAACATGGCGCGATATGGCATGTCTCCCAAAGGCCCAAGACAGCCACACGACGGCCCAGGGTACCCGCGGAGCCTCCCAAGGGTGCCCCCAATAGGCCAGCAACGCTCAAAAATCGTTACATATCGTTACATGGGTTCAGTGATCTGTTCATGCTCGCACGAGCCCTCCAGTTGGTACCAGCATGGTCCAAAGGTAGCCCGAGAGGAGATCAGCAATCCTCAAGACGGCCCAAACGCCACACCCACCTCCCCAAGAACACCTCAGACGCCTTCAATATGCAAATTCTTACCCAAAGCAATGAAACATCGCCGCCACAGGGCAGCGCCGCTTGGCCTTCCCCGCTTATGTGATCGACATCCTCCAGGGTGATTTCAATGGGCGGCCGAACGGTCCACAAAAGGGCAAGACAGCTCCTAGGAGAGCCTCGAAGGCTCCGGAAATGGCTCCCACGAGAGCCCCAGGATGGCTCAAAGAGGGCTCCAAGAGGCTTCGAGCTTCAAGGAGCTCCCAAGGTTGCCATTATGGAGGATGCTGTGGCTGGTCCTGGCATCGGATTCAAGAGTGCAACCTCTTTGCTTCACGTTACCCTTCTCTATCTCCCATCTTCCGACAATTCGCCCGGGAATCGGTTCTGGACTGGTTGCCGTGGATACGCCAGCCGCCCCCCTCCCCCGACCCCTTTCCGCGAATGGCTGCGCAATCGGCCCCCCTTTGGGATTACGGTTGCAGTTGCGCGCGCCCGCGGGCGGATTGACATGTGTCGCCTGGTAGCGGTTGCGGTTGCGCGCGCCCGCGGGCGGGTTGAAATGTGTCACTTGGTTGCGGTGGTTGCTGTTGCGGTTGCGGCTGCGCGCGCCCACAGGCGGGTTGAAATGTGTCGCCTGGTTGCGGCTGTGGTTGCGCGCGCCAACGGGCGGGATGAAATGTGTCGCCTAGTTGCGCCTGCGGTTGCGCGCGCCCGCGGGCGGGTTGAAATGTGTCTCTGGGTTGCGACCGCGGTTGCGGTTGAATGTGTCGCCTGGTTGCGGTTGCGGTCGCGCGCGCCCGCGGGCGGGTTGATATGTGTCGCCTGGTTGCGTTTCCGCGGGCGCTTGGAGATGTGTTGTCGGAAGTGGCCCTCCAATTCAGTCAAGTCATGTCAGTTCAGTCTGGAGAGGACGCAATTTCACCCGCCGGGAAACATCCGCCAAAGTGCCTGTGGGCACGGAGTGGGCGTGTCCTCGGGTCCTGCGCCCAATCCCTGGAGCCTCGGTCCTCAGTCCTGCGGAGTCTTAAAGGGGCCTGTCGTTCCCCTGGGTTCCCCCCCGCGTCTTGCCGCATGCTTTTTGCGGGCCCAAGATAGCCCGAAGACGGGCCCATAGGGTCCAACGCGGCCTTCAAGACGGCCCAAGAGGGCTCCGAGACGCCCTGAGACCTCCAAGATGCCCAAGATGGCCTCAAGATGGTCACAAGATGACCATCGATCTTCTCCAAGTTTTGAAGGACTTTGGCGTTCTTGCCTTTTCGGTCGGCTTTTCGACGCTCCAGGACGGTTCAAGAGGCCCCCAAGACCACCCCAAAACGGCACTGCACGCGCGCAGATGTAGACTCGGGGCTCACCACGGAGTGGGGGCAGCGAGCAAACAGCACATTTTCTTTCGCCGGCGGCGAGGCACAGATGTTCCGCACCAGCGAGAGGCGATTCGGGGCAACCGAACGGCGAATGGACCAGCATGCGAGAGCGGGGAGCAGAACAGACGAGGCGGCCGCAGAGGGGTGAGGGGCGTAGGGCACTCGGATGTGCAAGAGTTCCACCCCCAAGCGCGCTGGCGCGGCCAGCAACGGCAGCGGGGACCGCGGCAGCTGCCGAGCCGCGGCGTCGGTGCATCCACGGGCGCTGCCGATGCCCGGTGCGCGGAAGAGCAGACTGACGGCAGGGCAGGCGTCCAGGAACGGGACGACTAGGTAATGCAAGTGACGAGACGTGGAGCCCAGGTTTCGGACTGGCAGGGACCACCGGCACAGTTACCAAGGGGAGCTGCGCGCCTATTCAGTACCGGGCAGAAGCAGCCGCAAACTACCAGCGCAGACGGCTAGCCAACGACTTCAAGCCAGACGATGTCGACCCGACCTCGGCCTTGGCCTCCTGCTTCGCGACCCACGAGGGCAGCACGCCCGTCGCGATGCCCTGTATGGCCGTCTGGCGGAGGGCCGGGGTGTCCAGCGCCCCCTCGATCAGGCGCACCAAGGCCTCCTGGAAAGCGGCCCGATTGCCGTGAAAGGTCGGGTCGGCGCTCACCGTGAACATGCGAACGCGGTCTGAGTTGGTGAACGCCTTGGGGTTCGCAACGAGACGAGCCTGCCCAAAGTTCATCGGGAAGTCGCCGCCGAGCCAGTCCGAGATCAAATGCCTCTCCTCATCGATCTCGCCGTACGGCAGAGCGGCATACGCAATCTCGTCCAGGCGGGACCTGTGGACGAAGATCTGAAGCAGATGCCCCGCCTTGCCGCTCGCGCACGCCTTCCCGCCGTACTTGGACACGTCGAGGCCGTACTCCTCGGAGAGCCTCACGATATCGACCGCCAGCCGCTTGATCTTGGCCTGCGGGATGTAACACGACGCGAGTGACTTCATCAGCGCGTCGGTGAAGGAGAGGTCCTCTTGGCTGAACCCAGCGAGGAAGGCCGTCGGGGTGGACACCTCTGGCCCGAGCGCCACCAGCGAGCACATGGTGGAGATGGCGACCGCCCGGTACTCTGGGTGGTGGTCCATTCTGTCCTTCGAGAACTTCTCGCGGAACTTGCCGATGAGGGAAGGGGCGTCCGGGAGCTGCGCGAAGTCCGACACCAGAATGCGCGGCAGCGTCGACTGCCCCGACGGGAACCGATACAGCACGGCGGCCACCGCCGCCTGCAGCTCGTAGATCAGCGCGGCATACGAGTAGGTATGGTAGAAAACAGCCCACTCTTCACAGAGGACCTCCTTTAGAATAAAAAACAAAGAGGGACATAAACCTAAACTTTTGGCGCTCCGCGCAGATTTCTTGGATCTGCGCTGGGCTCCCTCCTTGGCGCGCGGAGCGCGCCGCCAGGGGCGGCCCCGGAGGTGCCGCTGGGGGGGGGCCCAGCGCGGATCCGAGAGATCCGCGCGGAGCGCCAACAGTTTATGTTTATGACGTTTGTTCTTCTTCGATCCTCGTGGTGCGCCATCGTGGCGAAGCACCGCATCGCGTGCTCGTTGCTCTGCAGGACCATCAGCTGGTCTTGAGAGGCTCCGCCACGCCGGCTCTGCGGCCCGTACCTGCGCTGCAGGGGCACCGCCTCCTCGCGGCCCGCCGCAGCTGCCTCGGCCAGGCCGCCCGGGGCGGCAGCGGCGGCGACGGCCTCCCGGGGCGCCGCCACGGGCTGCGCTGGCCTGGCCGCGGGCGCTGCGCTGCCGCTGCTGCCGCCGCGGGAGGGCTCTGGCGCCGGTCTGGGCCGCTCCTGCTTGTGTTAGGTCGGGCACGTCCTCCTACAAGGCGGGCTTTGGACGAACAGTAATCAACAAATCATCGAAACATCTCCCCAGGCTATTTTAACTTTTCTGAAACATTCCGCCTGTAGAGTGACAGGCCCAACTTACCTCCCGGGGCGCCTCCGCTGGCGGCGCTGGCCTGGCCGCGGGCGCTGCGCTGCCGCTGCTGCCGCCGCCGCGGGAGGGCTCTGGCGCCGGTCTGGGCCGCTCCTGCTTGCGTGTAGCTCGAGCGTCCTTCGCGGGCCTCGCGGCGCCCGCCACGTCCTTGAGGGTGTGCTCCAGCGAGTGCCACTCGAACGCCAGCTCCCACTCGTTGTGCGCCGCCGCGAGGGGCACGTCGGGCTCGGGGGGCACCGGGGGAAGCGAGCTGAAGATGGAGCCCTGCACGGCGGGCTTCAGCGCGGGTTCCGCAGCGCCTCGCTGCGCGATCCTGGCCGCGAGATCGACGGCCTTGAGGTGATCCCGAGCCGTAGATCTGACAGTGTCGGGCATGTCGCAGTCCAGCGAGTCCCCTCCGATGCCCTCCGAGATCGGCAGCCCAGACACGTGCCCCTGCAGCGGATGGCCCCTGAGTTGCGAGTAAATCGGCACGAACTCGTCCTCGTCATCTTGCTGTTCCTCGTTGTCGGGGTGCGCCAGGGGCATTGGCATGATGCGATCAAACCAATGCTCGGTCTTCGCCTCGGGTGGTGGATCGGGAGGATGATGGTCATCCGAAAGCGCTTCTACCGCAGGCTGAGAAGAAGGAGAGTGCCGCGGGCCAGTCCAGCACTGGCTGTGGACGCCGCGGACCAGGGGCTGGCGCGGCTGGCGCATGCGGGCGCCCAGCGGGGCAGCTTTTGTGCCCAGCGCGGGCGCGACGCGCCGGCCAGGCTTCTCCGCAGTGGCAGCGGGCCCGATGCCGACCAGAGCGGCCAGGTCCTGGAAGGCAAGCGCCAGCTGCGTCTCCAGCGGCCTGGCCGAGCCCGCCGCGGCCTCGTCCTTCAGCGGGGGGGCGATGACTCCGGGGCCGGCTGGCAGCCTGAGCGCTGGCACCTCGGGCCACGGCGGCGGCGGGTCTTGCGGCAGCGCGGGCGGCGGGCTGTCGCCGCGGCGGTTCCTCGCGACGACCCAGGGCGCCAGCGGCCGCCCGCTGATAGGCTCGCCTCTCGGGCGCTGCGGCGCAGGGCCGGGCTGCTCCAAGGCGCGCCCGCGCTCGCAGTAGCGCTGGAAGCCGCCCGGGGACTCCAGGGCCGACGCCGGCTCCATCGGCCTCCGCGCGGGCGCTGGCGCGGGGGCGGCGGCCGTCGCCCCCCCCCCCCCGCTGCGCGCGGGGACGGCTCGAGCCAGAGTCTACGGACGAGCACACAAAAAACAGACGACGAGCACGCCGAGGAGGGGGCGGCAGCACACAGCGGTGGCCAAACATCTGATGAGCTCTGGCGTGGCCCGAGAGAGTGCGCGCGTGAGGCGGCCGCCCGGGTCGCAGGGGCGCACAGTTGAAGCGGACGGGCAGGACCACGGGGATCTCATGGAGCCAGCCTCGCCCAGCGCCAGAGCCAGGCTCCCCCTCCTGCCGAAGGCCATGACAGCCCCGACCTTCGTCCCGACCAGGAGCCGCCCGAGGATCCTGGAGGAAGATGACCGCGTCTGACCAAAGATGGCCCCAGGATGCCGCCAAGACTGTCCCAGATGGCGGCAAGAGGCCGCCATGCAGCATGAGGACGCTCCTCCTCCTCCTTGTTGTCCTCCTCGTTCTCCTCCTCCTCCTCCTCCTCCTCCTCCTCCACTTCCTCCTCTTCCTCGTCCTCCTCCTCGTCGTCCTCCTCGTCCTCCTCGTCCTCCCCCATTTTCTCCTCATCCTCCTCCTCCTCCTCCTCCTCCTTCTCCTCCTCCTCCTCATCCTCCGTCTCCGTCTCCGTCTCCTCCTCCTCCGCCTCCTCCTCCTCTTCCTCCTGTTCCCCCAACCCCTTTCCTGTTCATGTTCCTCCTCCTCCTCCTCCTCCTCCTCCTCCTCCTCCTCCTCCTCCCTCTCCTGATTCCCTCCCGTTTTTCTCCCCCAGCGGTTGCGAAAACACATCGGCGGTTGGCTCGGCCTGTGTTCCTCGCCATACGCTTCTTGGAAACCTCATGAAGTTTCAGAGAAACTCTTCGGGGCGTCTGGTCCCCACTTTCCCGAACAACTCTGGCTGTCACCGTTATCAGAAGGGTATTTTTCCAGGGTCGGCGGCACCGGCCGCAAGGCCTTCAAACCATTCACCGCCTAGCTCGCACGCTCGAGTAAAGAACGAGCTGCAAGCGACCAAGCTAATATCAACAGGCTGTGTCAGAATCCTGCACTGCACGGTCCTCGCCACGAGGTCCACTTTGATGCCCGAAAGCGGTGGTCCCAACTGACGTATGAGCCTCTGCAAAGCGCGAAGCGGCAAGGCATCGAAGTTCTGCCCAGCGTTCTGTGGAGTCCCCGCGCGTGGGTTGCCGAGGTCGGCCGGCCTCTGCGCGGCGATCGGCGGCGGGCCCCTTGGTGCCCATGCCTCGTGGGCGCAGCGTGCGACGAGCCACTGCCGCGTGCTGCGCAGTCTCTGGAGCCTGCGTGTCGGGGAACCACGGAACGTGCCACGACTGCCTCCCGGCCCACCAGCGGCTCCTGCAGCGGAAAAACCTGCGCAAGCGCAGAGACATGAAGACACGAGCGCCACCAGCAACGCACCGAGCGAATCGCCTGCTGCCAGGGCACCTGCTGGAGATGGCGAAACAAACTGGGGCTGCCGATCAAACGGATGCTTTGGATCAAGTGTCTTCGCTGGTTGCCCGATTAGTTGGGTCAGCCAGAGAACATGTTGCAGTAGCTGCCACGAGAATCGGACAAGACGCACCCGACGAACAAGCGTTGGCAGATCCTTGATAGTCAACAGATCCTTGAACCTCCACCCGCTGGGCGTGGCTGATCTCGCCCGACGGATTGATCCGATACCTCTTCCTGAAAGTAGATCCCCAAGGACCTCATGGAACGCGCGGTCCTGGTAAGGTGCGTTCGTCTTCGCGGTAGATCCGTCGGCCAACTGATGCGCGGACCGCGCCCCCTTGATGCCTCCGCGTCGGCAATCCTGCCGAATGATGGCGGCCTCGAGAAACAACCTCCTGTCTGCAAGGAAGAGACCCCCCTGTGCCGCGCAATCCCGCAATGAAAGACAATCGGAGACAAAAGCATCACTCCACGCTTCTGCCACTGCCAGCACTCGCGACTAGCTGTCTGGACGCAGACACTCCTGCGCGCACTGACTGCCCGAGTGCCGAAGGTCACATCAGAAGCCTCCGAACAGCTGTGGTCCCAAGGATGCAAAATCCGCGCTGGCTCTTGTGATTCGGCACGTTGTCGAACGTTGCGTCATGCGATGCGATGGCCGCCAACTTCCAACTCGAAGCCTCCACGGAAAATCTCATTGATCTTCCCCGCTCGTCGGATAGAGAACATGCGTCTGTTCGTGTCCTTGCAATACTGCTAGCCTTGATGCCCCGGAAAAGTACCTGACGCAGTAGCCGCACCTACCGATGCATTCGCCCACTCATGCCGCGTAGCGCTCGGTGTTCAGCTGCAGCGCGCAGCTCCTGCTCTTGCTTGGTTCCTTCCCGCGGCAATCGGCAGTCCGTCGCGCAGTCGATGTGTGCGTCTATATCGATAGTGGTGACGCAATCGTGCAAAACCCGTCTGGTGCACTCTGCAGATCACGCCGGTCGCCGGATTCCACCTGCGCCCGCAGCTGCTCGATGATTTGGTCGCCGCGATTCTCTCCCATGTCGGAGGCCACGGGCACGTCGTCGTCAACGCGTAAGCAGAGAAGGTCCAACAACTGGCCAAGGCGCATGAGCTTGAAAGCTGCGGTCTCGAATCGCAGCTGCTCGAAACCAATCTCTTGCAGGATCTGCGCGGCGCGTCTTTGCAATGCCAGCGCCGCATAGTCGGCGCCACAGATGCTCGTTGATTTTCAAGAGGCTTCCCTCCTCAAATTACGGAATGCCGGTGCCCCGAAGACTCTCGGGCATCTCGCTCGGTTGAAGACAGCCCCGGTCCCGTCGCCAGCACAGCAGGCGAATTGCTTACACGCTGCAATCTTGCATGGAAGGTTCGGCATGACAGGCGAGCGCGTCTGCGAACCCCGTCAGAGCTGCAGGTCGCACGTATCCTAGAAACCTTTTTATCAACGATTCGACACTCTGGCTGGAAGTCGGCGTAAGCGTCGATGCTTATATGTCCACGCTGCACGACCCTAGACCTGGAGCGCCCAGTCGATCTGCTAATGACTGCATGGCACTTGTTCCAGGCGCCCCATTCCTTGATCACGGCGGTGGGGTACTTCTCCGAGCGCTGCTTCGCGCAGCTGTCGGTGCGACTCAACTTCTCCCCGGAGTCCATCTCCGCCTACGAAATGCGATCGGCGCGAGCGGCAGAAAAAGCTGTGCGCAGTATCTGGCTGGCTGCATCAACTACGCGAACACTCTTGTCCGTGGATATGACCACCGTGTTCTATCCAATGCGGGCACGGCTCCCATAAGCAAATACTGGGATTACTGTCTCCAGCTTGCCAGAGCGTCTCGCTCCAGTTTCCGCGTTATCTTGAACACGATTCGCTCGTTGGCGATCGCGTTGTCTTTGCCGAGCGCAGCGTTCGCCTTTGCCATCGGACTCTCCGCGAGGATGGCCGCGTGCTGCAGCTTCTGGAACGGGAGGCGGGTCGCCCGGCCCATCGGGTGGCGGCGGTCCTCGCCGCGGCGCCCTTTTCGGAGGTCCCCAACGCGATGGGCCCCGTCTTTGCCTTGCCGATGCGCACAGTCCACCGCGATGTCCGTCGCGTCCATGTCGCGCTCTAAGGGCGCGTCGAAAAGCGCTTACAGGCCGTTGCGAACTAGGCCCCCCCCATGAGGGCCATCGCGCTGCAGTTGGAGATCCGCCGGCATAGTGGCTCACCATGCGGCATGACATATTCCTCGGGAGATGGCGCCGCAACGCGCCTCGCAACTCTGGCCGCAAAAACGGCGTCGCATTGTCCGCGCGACGCCGGCCATAGTCAACTTCCATGCGCCCTCTCCGCTGACGGCTGACCATGCATTGTTTCTGCTTCGCGCGTTGGTGGTGAATTCGCTTTCGCCCCCCGTTTGCCTCGGCTGTTGATGTGGCCCAAGTGATGGTTGAGGCCCTTGTCAGGGTCGCAGTGGTTCTCGCTGCGGGGCGCAAGTTGCATGGCGCAGGTCAGCGGGCCCACGCTGTCCATGAGGGTCGCCGTGCCACTCGCGATCATCAACGAAAATGCGGCCCTCGATCTCGACGAGCGCAGACCTCTGCAGCGCGCCCCCCCACTGGCGCGCCAATTGCGCACCCGTTCGCCGCGCGAAAGCTGCCCTGGCGGACGTCGCGCATTGGATGCTCTTGCTCGTCGCGGGGCTGAGCTGTTGGCGGCCCGGTGGCATGCGATTTCGCGCGCTTCTTCTCATAGCCTAAGAGGAAGCCGCATGAACGACCGCATCGGAGACACATGGAACGCTGACCCTCGCACGCGCCATCGGATTCCAGACGGCGGGATGCACCCTGGTCATCTGGGGCCTCTGAGGGGTCAGGAACTTCCGCTGCCGGCGTTTAACGCGAGCCGTCTTTGGGCGCGTAGAGGTAGGGCCTGCTGATAGGGCTGCAAAGGGCAGCCAGCGGCAATCCAGCGGGCCTGTTCCTAAGCCCCGAGGCAAGCGCGCGAGGGCCGCTGACCTCCGCGGGGCCATCTTATTCATCTGCGCAGAGCGCTCGATGATCTTTTTACTTATCGAAATCAGTTTTACTCGCGGGCCATCGGCGATCGAGCGCGGCCGCGGCGCGCCGCGATGCAAAATTCGCGGCGGCGGCGACAGGCAATGATGCGTTCTGCGCGCGCGTTCTCTGGCTAAAATGCAAGAGCGGTCCGCGACTGCAGAATAATTGCCTCGGTCGACGGGGCCCGCGAGGGGGGGGGGCGGCGAGACATCGGGGCAGCGGGTCCTATCATCGCCAGGGCTGCGACAGTTCCGCTCCAGGGCCTGAGATAACCCGACCCGCCCGCAACCATGAATCTACGGGGGCACTCATGTAGAGGCGCGGGTAGACACGCAACTGGCGCGCGCGCAGGAGCACATGCTTCGCGAGTTCCGCGCAAGAGCGGAGAAAAAGCCGTCGCGACCCTGACGGCCATTGGCACGTCATGCCAGCGCGCACCGCGCGGGGCCCGCGCAAGCGAATCGGCAGCTCACCAATCCAAAAGCGCCCAGTCCACGAGAGGGCGCAGGAGCGCTTTGCACATGTACATGGCACGTGGTACATGTCGTGTACATGTGGTGTAAGCGTGGTGTACAAGTGGTGTAACACATGTGCAAAGTTGGCGTAGAAGTGGTGTGCAAGTGGTGTAAAAGTGGCGCAAAAGTGGTGTGCAAGTAATGTAATAGTGCTGTAAGAATGGAGTAAGTGCTTCGGGCTGTTGAATTCGCATCCTCTGGCGCATTCCCTGGCGCGGTTTCCCATCCGCGTGGGCCCCCCAGACTATAATCCCAGGCGGCCCCCCCCGGCATTCCCGGGGGCGCGGGCGGAATCTCACGGAGGCCCTGGCGCGCGCGAAGTCCTGCCGGTGAACGTGTAATGCGGTAAGAGTGCGGTGCGAAAAGTTGGGTGCAAGTGGCGCGGCAGTTTGTAAAAGTGGTGCGAAAGTGGCGTGCGAGTGGTGTGCAATTGGTGAAAGTGGTATGCAAGCTGTCCGGCAGTTGTGTGAAAATGGTGCGCATGTCGTGGGCATGTTAGGCATGCGTCGAGCCTCTCCGTGTGCTCGAGAAAAGAACCGCAGCTCGTGGCGCGCGGTCGCGGCTCGGAGTTCGGCGAGCGGAGCGGCGCGCGGCGCGGCTCGACGCGGCGCGCGGCGCGCGGCGGCGCGCCGCTTTCCAAATATTCACGGGTTTGCGCGGTCGGTCACCCGCGCGGATCGGCGCGGCGCGACGGGGGAAGCGGCGCGGCGCGGCGGGGCGGCGAGGCGCGTGCCACGGCGCGGCGCAGCCCGCGGACTCGCGAATTGACGCCGTCGCCAACGCGTCGGGTGACGCTCGACGCGGCAGGGAGCGACGCGCGGCGCAGCACGGCGCGCCGCGCTGCGCGCCGCGGCGCGGCCAGCTCGCAGCAGGGCGCCGGCGGGCCAGCGGGTTCGCAAGCTTGTCGGACGCGGCCCCCCATCAGCGGTGCTCCGCGGAGACCCGCGGGCAATCGCTGCTCGAGGAATCGGAGTGCACGCGCGGCCAAGTGCGTCTAGAAATTTCCGATCATCAGGCAGCAACGCACCGCGCCGACGGACTTAACATTGCCTTTCCGGAAAAAAAGGAAATGCTCACGCGCTGCCCTTTGCAGCCTTAACAGGGCCTGGCTTTCAATCATAGCCGCGCATCATCCACTGCGTGGGCGCGTAGCCGGCAGCTGGATCGAGCGCGGCCGCATATCCGCGCGCGCGATGTTTGAGGTTGGGTACGTGGGCGATGTCTATGCCTGGGCACTGGTTGATGTTGCCCCCCTTCGGTAGGCTGGCCACTGGGCGCGCTGGCGGTCTTTGTTGTGAGCCGCGCAGCTCGCGCAGTAATCGCTCTGCAGCTGAGATATCCGCTGGCGCGCCGCTGCCAGCGCGAGCATTCCTTGCCAGGGCTTCGCCTCGTTGTGCACGAGACAACTGAACGTGCAGCTTCTTGATCGCTGCCGCGAATGCCTCTGGTGCTGAATTGCCACGTTTGCCCGGCTTGAGCGCTAGAATCCACGAGGGGCCCTGACCTCGACGAAGTCTGCGGCGATGCTTGCGCGAGAGGCGCCAGGAACTCTGATTGGTCTTCACAGGAGTCTCCGAATCGCACTGTTCCCTCGCGCCCTCAAGGATGGGGTCGGCCAAGTCCGTCGCCCAGACTGCAAGATCCAAAGACTTTCCACCTGGCCCTCGCACTTCGCCGCGTTCGCGATCTCGCGCGATCGGGGCCTCCAACGCGCGCGCCAATGCGGCTGCCAACGAAACGGGCCTCGTCGGCAGTAGACGCGGATCTCCACGATTGTTCTGCAGATTGAAAACGCACTGGTCACGTTGCGCCAGCTTCGGCTCATCCGCGAGTTCGCCCTCGATGATGCTCCGCGCCTGTGAGCGCAACGGGTGCCCCAGAAGCGCGCGTCTTCCGCGGTTCTGTCGACGTCGCGCAAGTAGGGGGGCGGGCCTTGCGCGCGACGGCGCCGGCATCTGGCGCCGCGCCCGCCCCTTACGTGGATGGGGAATGTCGATTGCAAAAATCCCTTCGCACGGAAATGGCGCGCCAATGACGCGCGGGCCCTCCGTCTCCAGCTCGCGCGTCGTAGCCGCCCGCGCGATTGGCCAGAGTAGATCGTCTCCCGCGCGCATGAATCCTTGCACTGCCCTGTCTTAAGCCCCCGACTCTCCGCTAACCAATCGCCGCCGAAGACCGCCATCGCAACCGCCCCACGCGCGCAGGAGGGCGGCCCCTGCTGCGTAGCACGCTCCACGTGGCTTTCAGTTCCCATGTATGATTGGAAACCTGCGCGCCACCTTGCACATTGGTTTGCGAGATATTGTCGTGGCGCTGGCGCCATCCACCTCGTCATCGACCTTCGCGATGGCTAAATTCACCCGGATGCGCGGATTCTCCTGCTCGATTACCCGCGCATCGAAAGTCTCGGCGCTGACGGCGGGCCCTTCGGCCCGTCGAGACTCCTTCGGGATGTCGGCGACGTTGGCGATCGGGGAATTTCTCTCGGAACGCATGGTCGTCGCCGGCAGATCAAATAAATCTCTGAGATCACCCCCGTTACTTTTGACCTATCCAAGGCGTCCATTTTGATGAGGTTTGCAAGCAGGGGCGGGTCCACGCCGGGTAGACGAAGTCAAAAATAGAACCTCTTCCCTGGATTTCACTGGGCATGACATGCGCGCTCTCTGCCTTGCTAGGCGCTGACGCATTGATATCCTTGAACTGCCGAGACGGGCATCTCCAGGCCGGCTAGGTTGAACTGCTCCAGGTGGCTGGCGATGGCGCGATCTCCAGCACGTGGTGCCACTGCCGCTGCATCCAGTGCCACATAGCCTGGGGGTGCCACTGGATTTGCCACCGCGCCGTTGATTAAGTCAAAGTCATTGATCGCTGAAGCCGGGTCAGCCATATTGACCCCCACGAGGTATCCTGCTCGTGCAGCTAGCACGGCCGCAGCGAGGCCAGCACGAGCGAGAAAACCTCATGCGAGTCCTCCTTTGCCTCGTCCCCGTCCTTGTGTTGCTGACCCAGTTTAGGTATCTACTGGGTGGGTGAAAATGCCAAATTGGGTTTCGGGTGAGCATGCGGGCGGTCCCACTCGGAGCTTCGGTGGGGCCCCCTTATGGGGCCACGAAACGCTGTATTGGGTCGGTGAAAATGCCAAGTTGAATGTGTGGGACGCATGCGGGCGGTCCCACTGGGGGCTTCGGTGAAGCTCCCTATGGGGCCACGAAGCGCTGCACTGGGTGGGTGGAAATGCCACATTGGGTGTGTGGGACGCATGCGGGCGGTCCCACTGGGGGCTTCGGTGGACCTCGCTATGGGGCCACGAAGCGCTGTACTGGGTGGGTGAAACGCATGGGGGGGGGGAGGAGGGGGAGGAGGGGGAGGAAGGAAGGAGGGAGGAACGCAGGGAACGTCTCTTCAAAACGAGGACCCAACACCACAGGATGGTAGGGAAACGCCTTCAGCACAAACCAGAAGATGCACGCGCGAAAATCAAACATGCGTGCGCCCAAAAAGGTACCCATGTGCCGTGGAAGCCGGAAGCGAGCTGAGGACGGCCAGAACCAAAAGATGCAAGGGTGCCCTTGCCGAAAGGGCCTATCCTCAACGCCAGTTTTGACGGTAATACGAGCTGCGCTTCGGGACACGTGTGGCTTTAGTTTGAATGTCGAGCACGTGCGAGTCTTGCCCTGTGGGTGGCACGAGCCCGCGCAGCTGCAGCAGGGAAGCTGCGACTTCCAAGCGGCCGGGGAAGCTTTGCCGATGCAGAGGTTCAGTGGCTATCTGGTCGACCGTACGACACATCCGACATCGAGACACCGCTAGGAACACAGTTTGGATTTAGCGTGAGAATGGGGCAGGACGAGAACCACGTATCCTCATCCACCTCTTCGACGTTTACCCCCTCGTAATGCTCCTCGTCCTCGTCGTCGGCCTCCTCAATCCCCTCCCGCTCCTCCTTCTCCTCCTTCTCCTCCTCCTTCTCCTCCTCCTCACAATCCCCCTCCCCCTCCTCATCCTCCCTCCCGTCCTCCTGCTATCCCGTTTCCTGGTCATGGTCCCCCCAATACTCTCCTCCCCTCCTCCCGTCCTCCTGCTCCTCCTTCGCCCCATCTGCCCCGACATCCCCCCCGCAGCCGCGCCGCAAGGAGGCTTCGCGAGGCGGGCCCCGCGTCGCCTGCACCCGCGCCGCTCCCCCTCAGCGACGCCGAAATGCGGTCCCACGCGCCCGCGGCATCCTGGGCCCCTTCCACGTGAGGCGGGGCGGTGGAGAGGGTGGTGACGCAGGGGGGGGCGGAGAGAAGGAAGGGGGGGAAGGGGAGGAGGGGGAGGCCAGGGTGGGGGGAGCATGGATGAGCGGGGGGGCGGGGGAGAGGAGGAAGGACCGTACGTGGACATTCTATTCGAACCCTGTGGCCCAAGATGCTCCCCAGACCCCCCCGAAATGAATATTGATGGCGTGGCGACGGGAGGGGCGTGAGTGGACAGAAATACTCGAACCCCAAAGCACCGCCTTTACTGAGATCACACATTGAAGTCGGGGGCGCAGGGGTGATTTAGAATCTCCCTCGAATGCGCAAGGGTTCGAGTATACTGTCCATCTACTGGATGGGAGGGTACGGGGAAGGGGAAGGGGACGTGGGGGCGGCGCGATGTGGAGACGCGTGTCCAAGCGCAGGCGGTGCGAACTACGCTTCGTGCGCCCTGCTCTTGCGGCTGGAACACACGGCCATGTGGCAGGTTCTGGACAGCCCGGACCCTCAACCCCAAAACATGTGGCCATCTCTTGGGGGCGCTGTTTTTACTTCCGCCGCCTTCCGCCGGCACTCTGCCGCATCGGCCGAGGAAGGGATGACAACTTCCTCGGTCCACGAGAGCGAGGCCATGTCAGGAACGCCTCATTTCTGGGCAAGCGGGCGGGGGGGACTGCCAACAGAACACATACGCGCGACTCGAGCGGCGCGGCGTCACGCCGCGGCCCGGAACGGGTGGCGGCATCGGCGACCAGCCGGAGGGCACAAGACTGACAAGACCCAGGAAGATCGTGTACTAAACGATCCTGGATCAATGGAAAATCAAAGAAAACAAGAGTATTACACACAAAACAACAATTAGCAAACAAACCAAAAAAAGAGTACACAAACTGACCGCCAGCTTGGCTTCTGGGGGAAACAGCCACAAGACGAAACCCGTAAGCCACATACGGCAGTGATTCTGTTGCTTGAGCTGCATATGCACGCTTCCAGGAAACATTGTAAGCAGTGGAAGTGGATGGGTGTTGGTGTGAGCGGGGGTGGTGGTTAGTAGGCCGACAGATCTAGAGATTCTGCACCCCCTGGGAAAGTAACGCAACTGTTTGTTCAGTCTCTTGCCCCCTCCCCCTTGGACCCCCGATCTCAATGCAGTCGGCCACGGCCGACGGCGGAACAATCGAACCGCACGGCGCCCCGCGCGAACGCTGACGTTGAGCTGAGCGGCGTAGGGAGACGGACCGCGCGCGAGAGCTGCACTACTTTGCCAGGGCAGCACAAGTGGTCCAGGGGAGGAGAGGCCGACAACCTGCGGAAAATTTAGAGTGCAAGCCACCGGCCCAGAATTGGCCATCAGCATCGAATCGGTAAGTCTGACGACCAGATCGATCATATATATATATATACATATACATATACATATTCCTCTTCCCCCCTAAAACCGGATCCCCAGAATCTGCAGCTTTGGGACCCTCTGGACGGGCCTCGAAGCGGCCCCCTGGGCCTCGCAGGGCGTTTTGCCAAGCCTTCGCAGCACACCCAGGGCGATCAGGGGGGTCACCAGAGACGTCCCAGAGACCCCCAAGACAGCACAAGAGCGCTCCAAGAAGCCGTCATACCCCGAAAGATCGCTCCAAAACGTACCAAGAGGCCTCCAAGAGCACCCCCAAGAAGGCCCCAAGAGGGAAAAATCATTGATTCTATGTAGGTGTTTGGTGCATTTGGGGTTCTCCTCTTTTCGGCTTCCCGACGCTCCAAGACGGCGGTCTCCTATGCGTCCGAAGCCGCCTGGGAGGCTCTAAAATCGCCCCACAACCATCCGAAAGGGCTTCCAGGCAATCCAGGAGAGCCCCAAAACGGCACAAGAGGGGTCCAAAATGGCCCTAAGAGAGCACCATAGCGGCCTAAGATGGCCCCAAGACACCCTCCGAAGCATTCCAAATCATGACTGGGGCGTTCAGGGAGACCGCGGTTAGAGGCAGGTTGGCCTCAGGAAGCCCCAGAGGCCCCCAGAACACGCCCAGGAGGCCTCCAGAAGGCCTTAAGAAAGCCTGAGAACTTTAGTGAGGCCCCCAGAGGCTCTCCAAGGAGGAGCCGTCGCAAAAAGAGCTGAGGAGGATGGGGAGAATGCCCAGGGTATGGCGAGAATGAAGAAAAATAAGCATGGAGGAAGGACAACGAACATTATTACCACGGCGATTCCAGAAAAGGCAGCAAGGAGTTCTCGCTACATTGTCGGCTTGACCTTGACCTTCCTGCCATTTCCGCCTGCATGCCAAACTTCAAGGACCAAGGTGCATGCCGCGAAGCGCCACTGCAGTCTTGTATTCCTCTTCCTATATTTTTAGAAGCCCGGGCGGGGGGAAAACCCGTCACCCCCCCCCACCCCAAAGCCGGACTCCCGGGATCTGGGGCTTTGGGACCCTCCGGACGGGCCTCGAAGCGGCCCCCCTGGCCTCGCAGGGCGTTTTGCCAAGCCTTCCCAGCACACCTAGGGCGATCAGGGGGGTCATCGGAGACGTCTCAGAGACCCCATGACAGCGCAAGAGCGCTCCAAGAGTGACCGACGTGACCTGAAGATGGCCCAAGAGGCCTCCAGGACGGCCCCAAAGAGGCCTCCAAGAGCACTCCCAAGAGGCAAAGATCATGGATTTTCTATAAGTTTTTGGTGAATTTTGGGGTTCTCCTCCTTTCGGCTTCCCGACGCTCCAAGACGGCGGTCTTCTGGGCGTCGGAAGCCGCCTGGGAGGCTCCAAAATCGCCCCACAACCATCCGAAAGGGCTTCCAGGCAGTCCAAGAGAGCCCCACAACGGCACAACACGGGTCCAAGATGGCCCTCAGAGAGCCCCATGGCGGCCCAAGATGGCCCCAAGACACCCTCCGAAGCATTCCAAATCGTAACCCGGTCGTTCTGGGAGACCGTGGTTGGAGGCAGGGTGGCCCGAGGAAGCCCCCAGAGGCCCCCAGAACACGCCCAGGAGGCCTCCAGAAGGCCTTAAGAAAGCCTGAAACCATTTTTTTAGGCCCCCAGAGGCACTCCCAGGAGGAGCCTCCGCAAAAAAAAAGCTGAGGAGGGTAGGGAGAATGCGCAGGGTATGGCGAACATGAGGAAAAAGAAGCATGGAGGAAGGATACCGAATAGCATTATCATAGCGGCGATGCCGGAAAAGGCAACAAGGAGTTATCGCTAATTTGTCGGCTCGACCTTCCTCCTATTCCGCCTGCATACCAAACTTCAAGGAAAAAGGTGCATGGCGCGAAGCGCCACTGCAGTCTTGTATATATATATATATATATATATATATATATCTTGTCGTCCTTGCAGAATATGAAATGCGATGGGCTTCTCGCCTGCACCAGGGCGCGGTCGCATCTACACGCGTCTACTATGTTTAGAGACGCCTCACAGGGTCGGCGCGTGCGTCAGTCAGGGCCGCACCGGCACGAGGTCGAAACCGAACACGTCGGATCGGGCCGATCGAACCGAAGCGGACCCTGCCGACCCCTGGCTCCGCTCCTCCAGGGGCTCGTGGCTGATCAGGAGCCACTCGCCGCCCTTGGAGCTCGAGGGCGTGGAGGCCCCGAGAAAGACCGCGATGCGACCTGCCCCGCGCCCGCCCTGGCCCGTGCTGCTCCAACGGAGGCAGTGAGGCATTAAGCCGCTCCATGTCGGGGCACTGGACGCCCTGCAGAATGCGAAGCTCATGCTGGAACCATGCCCGTCTCCCCCAGCTGCAACCCACAGTCCACCCACCCGACCTGCCCCTTTGTACTCCTGCGGCCACCGCTGCCCCTGCTCACTCTCCCACTCCCGATCCGTCCTCCGAAGTGGAGTCGGGCGTGCCAGAGATCACAAAAACAGCACACGACTTGCCATCGCTCGGGCGTGAATCTCGCGTGTATGTTTCGGTTTCGTGCTTTTATTTTCCGCACGATGATCCACGATACTCCTCGATGGTCTTCCCCGAGGAAAAGTGCACAGGTCCGAGCGATGCCAAGACGACGTGGATCAAAGCAAACGTGAACGAGTGAATGTGCACAAGCATCCGCGCGCTCCGGCGGGTGCGCCGAATCCAAATGCCCACCGTAAAATGCTGCGCGCATGCGGACGTTGACACGGGTCGCATCAGGCAATCACAGAGTCGCCCAACCTAACAATCCCAACCTAACCTAACACCCAGGCGCTGTCGACACCGTGCCAAAGCTAACCTGACCCAAGCAGGAACATCATTCCGAGACCAGCGCGTCGCCAGAATGCAAGTGTCACGCCCGTGCTGCGCGGGCCGGGCGCGGTGTCACCGAGGTCGGGGCTACGTACGCTAGGTGGGTAGTCCAAGTCAGGGGGGGTGTAAAACACACTGTGAGCGATGATGCCCTTGACTGGGTAAGTTCGCAGGGCTGGCCTGCAGGCCTCGTCCTCCTGCCCGATGCCTCAGGCAAAACAGTTATCCGGGCGAGGGGCCCAAGCATATGCAGGTATGAGTACCGTCGTTGCGAGTATCGCCTTCGGTGGATCTCCTCATGGGGCCACGAAGCGTGCGAAGACTGTGGCGAGACGGGGCAGGGCCGCCATGCGGGTGAGGGGGGGGCCGAAATGGGGCGGCGGTGCCGTGCGAACTCTCCCGGTTTTGCCGAAACGCAGCGGCGGTGCACTCCCAATGCGAAACGTGTGAGAGGTGTGCCGACGTGGCGCGGCGGAGCCAGTGTGCCGAAGTGGCGCGGCGGTGCCACGTGAACCCTCCAATTGTGGCCTTAGGTGGAGCTCGCTATGGGGCCACGAAAAATGTGATGGGTGCCGAAATGGGGCGGCGGTGACATGCGAACCCTGCCACTGAGGCCTCAGGTGGAGATCGCCATGGGGCCACGAAAAGTGTGAGGGGCGTTCCGACATGGGGCAGAGGTGCCATGCGAACCCTTCCACTGGGGCCTTCGGTGGAGCTCGTCATGGGGCAACGAAACGTGTGAGGGGTGTTCCAACATGGGGCGGCGGTGCCATGCGAACCCTCCAACTGGGGCCTCAGGTGGCGCTCGCTATGGGGCCACGGAAAGTGTGAGGTGTGTGCCGGAATGGGGCGGCGGTGCCATGCGAACCCTACCACTGGGGCCCAAGGTGGAGCTCCATTTGGGGCCACGAAATGTGTGAGGGCTGTTCCGAAATGGGGCGGCGGTGCCATGCCAACCCTTCCACTGGGGCCTTCGGTGGAGCTCGCTATGAGGCCAAGAAACGTGTGAGGGGTGTGCCGACATGGGTGCGGTGGGCGCATGCGAACGCCGCAGCCACTGGGGCTTTCGGTGGAGCCCCCCATGGGGCCACGAAAGGCGCGCGGGTTGTGAGGGCAAAGGTGAGGGGAAGGAGTGAGGAGGTGGAGAGGGAGGAGCTGGGAGGAGAGGAGAGGGAAGCAGGGCGCTGTCTCTTTTAAACGAAGGACCCAACACCACAAGATGGTTGAGGAACAATCGCCAAGCTAATACGTGTTGTTGCATCTATGCTAGGCTGAGCAGTGCACGCGCCTGACACCTTCAACGAAAATGCTGTATCCGTTCCAACGCCTGCATACATGCACGTAGTGCATTGTGCCGACGCTCGGGTACACATCAGTATCACTCGCAGAGAGCACATCTACGCACAAAACTGCACACTGCATGTAGCGCAAGCGGGCCCTCTCCTCACAATCTACTGTGCGCCGCAGGATGGAAAGAGTTTGAGCTTTCGATGGGCGAGATCCGTTTGAGCTGTGTTCCGAAACTGACGCGCCGACGCCATTCAAGACCCCCCACTGTGGCCTTTCGTAGAGCACCCTATGGAGCACGATCCGAGCGAGGGGTGTGCCGACAGGGGCGCGCTGAAGCAACAGGAATACTTAGACCGTAAGAGGATGTCCATGTGGAGCACGGTCCGTCAGAGGGGTGTGCCGAATGGGCGCGCCGTCGCCATGCGAGATCCTCCACTGTGCCCGTAGGGGCCGGCAGCCGGCATGGGGGCGCCGACGCCTCAGGAGCGCACTCGCTGGGAACGTGGGTGCAGCCCCTGCGAAGCACAATCATGTGAGAGGGGAATTGAAAAGGGAGCGACGACGTTATAGGAACGCCCCTGTTGGGGCTTCAAGTTGTTGCTCTCTATGGAACACGATCCGCGTGACGGGTGTGCCCAGTGGGCTCGCCAACGTCATAGGAACGCCACCACGGGGGCCGCAGAGCTAAATGCGGAGCAAGTACCGCGCGACCGATGTGCCGACGCCATGGGAGCGCCCGCGCTGAAACTGAAGGTGGGGCTCCCTATTGCCCTGTGGCGCAAGATCCACGCAAGGGATGTGCGGAATGGGGCGGGACGAAATCGTAAGAACGCCCCCACTGGGGCTGTGAACCGTGATCCATGTAAGGAGTGTGCCGAATGAGCGCGCCGACGCTATGGGAGCATCCCCGCTGGGGCTGCAAAGGCTACCCCCTTCTGAGAACGATCCGCGTGAGGGGTGTGCCGAATGAGCGCGCCGACGCTATAGGAACGCCCCCACGGGGGCCGCAGTGGGAGCTCTCTGCTGGGCACGAGTGATGGACGGGCGCCGCCGCTGTGGCCGTATGTCTCCTCATGTCGAGTCTTATCCTGTCTTGTCGTGTCTTGTCAACCTACCTGGGCCCGTCTTGGCGGTGTCTTCGGCCACTTTGGAATCCACCCCACGTCGGCTTCAGAGGCCTAAGTACTGCTACCAGAGGGCTCTGAATGGGCACGGAGCCTTCGAATGAGACCCCCCAGAAGCCAAATCCTCAAGAGAATATGTGGCTTTTCAGTGACGGCTGTCTCCTCACGCTTCAACATCCGATGGGCCTTTCAGGCCCCCAAGATGGCTATGTGTCGGCCCCAAGATGGCAACAAATGGCATGAAGCCTTCCAAGGACGCACACGCGAGGCCCGAATCATTCAAATTATTAAAACGACTTCTGATGACTTTGGTCTTCTCGCCATTTTGCTTCCGATAGGCTTTTCAAACCTCAGAATGGCCCCAGAACCACCCAAGAAGAGCCAGAAGAGAGGGGGGGGGGGGCACAAAGCTGCCAAGACGGCCTCAGGAGCGCCCAACACGCCCAACGAGCGCTCCAGGGGCGTCCCAAGAGGCAATGCGTCGGGCTCCGACCGGGAGTGGGGTTAAGTTGAATTGTCAACGTTGTTACTCAATGTCTTCCAAGACGGCCCCGAGGGGGACCGAAAGGCCCCAGAGGGAGTCCCAAGAGAGAACCAAGAGGGCTCCAAGAGAACCCCCAGAGCTTCCAAACTAGCCCCGAGGGGGGCCGAAATTGTACAAATGATCTTCTCAAAGGCTCCCACATAGAAACATCCGCGACTCGATGCGTGGTTGGTTGACTCCTGGATCTGCTCAGGCTGGTCCCGCGCTTCGGTTCAACGGCTGCCCCCCCTCTTTGTTCCCCTGCTTGCTCCTACACAGCCCTGATCAAGGCAACTCGTCTTGGCATCTTGTTAACGATGGGTTCGCGGGGATACGCGAATCGTCAAGAACTCATCCTCGTCCTGCTCTTCGCTGTCGCGCTGCTGCGCTGGGACGGTGGCAGGGCCTGCCGCAAGCAGATGGATGAGACAGGTATCGTACAAGAAGTCAGGCTTCAATTGTCTAAATTCGTGGGAAGCCCCTCCTCGTGCCCAAAAGTTCGGTCCGCTTGGATGTGATCCTCACCCCAAACCTCTGGTTTTCAAAACCGAACAGGGATGCACAACCCAACGATCCCACCAGCTCTTTGGGCTAAGGTGGTCTGGTCTGCCAAATGCTTCCTGTCCTCTTCCAGAAACCCCTTCTGGGAGGTGTACCTCCCCCACTCCCTGAGCTGTTCCTGGGCGGACCGCGAATCGTTAGAGCCTCCAAAATCGCCCAAGATGGCTCCAAGAGGGCATCCGATGATGGTATCCAAGATGGCCCAAACTATCCGACGATGGTTCAAGGTAGCTTCCGATATACCTCCACGAGGCCCGACGAGGGCCACAAGACGGTTCCGGGTGCTCTCGGAGCCCCCTGAGGACCCCCTGGGAGGCCACAATCCTTCAAACACCATCAATGACTTGTGCCTTCTCGCTGTTTCACTTACGATGCGCGTTTGAGGCATCAAGATGGCCCCAAGATGGCCCAAGAGAGGCCCAAGAGGGCCCAAGAGGCCTCCCAGACGGCCCAAAGGAGTGCCCAAGATCGACCCAACAGCGCCCCAAGACGCGATTGTCATGGGGGGACCCCCCCTTCTTTGATCGATAGCCTCCAAAATAGCTCTCCAAAAGAGTCCCAAGAAGGCGCCACGAGGCGACTTTGAAGGCACTGTCCTCATCCTCGTTGTCCTCCTCCTTCTCTTCCTCGTCATCGTCCCTGACCTCGTCGTGTTCCTCTTCCTTTTGCTCCTATTCCGCGTCATCGTGGTCGTCGTGGTCGTCGCCGTGGTCGTCGTGATCGTCGTGGTCACCGTCGTCGTCATCCTCCTCCTCTTTCCCTCGCCCCCACGCGGGCCCCAGGGATGGCCCGAGGAGGCCATCCAATGCCAGCCCCTTGCTCCCAAAGGTCTCCCTGTTCACCCTGGTTGCCGGCTTTGTTTCACTATGTGGGTGTCTTCGTCTCTTGTCCATGTAACTCTCATGGGCAGAATTTCTGAATGGGCTGGAGGGGATACGCGAGCGTGACGAATTATACCTCCAACATTGTCAGCAGGCAAACAATTGCCCAACAGCCTTCTCCTCCTCATCCGAGGTGAACGAGAGGGAGGGGTAAGTAGTAAAAGGTGGGGTGGGATCTGAAAAACGCTGCGTGCAGCTGGTTATCCTGGCGCCTCGCGGCCCATGTATCAATGAACGCAGATTGCTCGCAGATTGTCGAGAGCATGCCAGAAGATCAGCCTAGCCCTGCAGATTCGGCGCCTGGCGGATGAGCTTGGTCAGAGCCTACAGTGGCAAAAGGTGGAGTCTCATACGGGACTGCTCTTGAACGACTGGTCTGATGCACTCGCGGATTGTGGCGCGGGTGAACTCTTCAGTGGCCTGCTGTACGCACGGAGGAGGACGTGCCCAAAAAGCACATATTCTTACCCGAGATCAGGCAGTCCCTTATCGTATCCACTCACCTGTATCAATGACTGTGACAAGCTACTGGGCCGAAGCGCAGCTGCACGCAGCTACCCACACCTGTCTCATCTCACCTTTCCTTCCACCCATAACTGTTTTTGCCGAAGGCCGCAACCCTGCTTGGCAAAACATCGTCCCAGGCGCTGCACATACCTGATCTGACCAGCCAGGCCTAGGAGCCCGAGCCATTGAATGCGAGTGCAAATCGGGCGCCTCATTGCTCAAAAAGCTCAGTGCGGCCAGTCCCTGGAGGTCAGGCTCACGACATCAATGAACGTTCACGGACGCACTGTAGTGGACGGCAAGTCCCAGAGGGAGGGAGAGGGCGATGGTGTTACAGAAACGAGGCTCGATTCCCTGGCCCGCGCGGCGAGCACGCTGAGGTGGACAGGAGCGGTCCCGCCACCCGCGAATCTACACGGGCCGTTGGAGGGCCAGGCTTCGCCAGCCCCCCGTGGAACGAGCGCCGCCGCGAGCGAGGGCCATGGCAGCGGCGCGAGCGGGAGCCGAGGCAAGGGGCACGGGAGTGCGGTAAGTTCGTGCGGCGTCGACGCCCGCAAAGGTTTTCGACACCGCGTCGATCGTTCAGCCTCGAATCGGTCGCGGCCACGATCGTTCAAGGGTGAACTCCGTCGGGCCCAGCGGCGTTACAGTGTCCCCCTGTGCTTCAGCGTCGCAGAATTCAGCCTTGAGCGCCATCGCCGGCGTCGCCGGCGCGCCGACGCCGCATCGACCCACCGTACACAGGGAGCGGACGCCAGAGAGGCGGCTGCCAAGTAAACAGCGAGCGAGCCCTACGAAATTCATCTCTTGCGAATGCCCAGGACTGTCCGCTCACTGCCGTCGGTGATGACCTTGACTTCTTGCGTCAACCTGACCGCGTCCAACTGTTTCAGATTTGGCAGAGCAGCCAAGATGGCCTCCTTGTATCTAGCCTCATTCTCTGCGTCGCCTATGGTGTGCATTGTGTTCCGCTCCAAGTAGACTGTATGAAGAGAAGTGAGGCAGGCCAGGTTCTGCACTTCGGCCAAGTCCTCCACCTGGCAATCGTTCATCCACAACTCCTGCAGCTTCGTCAGTTCAGGCAGCGATCGAATAGTCTTGATCGCATTCTTAGCGAGGTCGAGCTCCTTGAGCCCTGTCAGGAGCGCCAACTCTTGTGGAAGGTCCGGCAGATTGTTGTGCCCAAGGTAGAGATGGGTGAGGCCCGGACAATTATGGAACAATGCGGGATCCCATGCTTCCAGCCTGTTGTTCTGCATGCTCAGGTGTCGCAGCGCGGGCAGCGACGGCAGTGCCATGGAGACTATCTTGTTCCTGCCGAGCCAGAGCTGCTCCAAATTGGTAAGTTGACCTATCTCGGGCGGGATCTCGCGAATTCTATTGGAGCCCAATTCGAGCATCTGTAGTTTGGGAAAGTGGAAAACGCCCTCAACGTCCGTGATCTTGTTGCTGGACAGGTATAGCCGCTCGAGCTGGTCGAAGCAGCAGCTCCCCAGGGGCTCCGCCGTCCTGATCTTGTTGAAGGACAAGTCCAGAGTTGTGAGCTTGGTCAGGTGTTGGATGTTCTGGATCCTCTTCACCAGATTCTGGTACAGCTCCAGGTGCTCAAGATTGACATTCGAGTCCAGGTTCTCGATGACCTCTATGCAGTTCGCAATCAGGACCAGCTTCTTCAACCTCTCGGCGGCGAGCCCCGGGGGGGAAGTGAGAAGGAGAAGGCCTTCTCAGAAGGCTCGGAAGTCCCCCGGCCCTCTCATAAATTGTCTACGCCTTCCCCGAAGGCGCAGAAAACTTCTCGGAAGGCCGGGGGGCTTCTGAGAAGCCCCGCCGCCTTCTGAGAGGGCCTTCTCCTTCTCGCTGCCCCCCTCGCTCGCCGCCGAACCTCGGGCCGGCGGCCTCGAGGTTCTCCAGCTTCTTGATGCGGGTGCACTGGAAGTGTATCCGCCACCGCGCTCCGGAAGAGCGGAAGACGTGCGCGCGCGGATGCCCCACGAGTGTGCGAGGCGGAGATGTTCGCCCACACCCCACGCGGGGGGGAAGCATGTCCTGGGGCCCCCGTGGGCGGTGGACGTGGAAATATGTCAGGCCCCCGGGGAGGCCCGATGACGTCCATAGCCACTGCCTGCCACGGCCCAGGAGGGCAGACGTCTTGAGCGGCGGCTGCGGACGAGTCCCAGCCTCGGAGGACGGGCGCTACACACCCGCAGAGGCCCCAGACGAGGCCCCCCACAGGAGGCATCGCAGAGGCCGTGCAGCGCTGCGTCAGGCAGCAGTTCCTGGGAGGTCTTGGGTGCAGCTAAGACATAACACATAGTCAACACATCTTAAACATAGTCAGACAAAAACAAAGAATCGTCCCCGTACGATTTTCGACTATTCTGGAATATTGCACCTGTAGAAGGACATGCCCGACTTAATACTAGACCCGGGGGAGCGATGAACTCAGATGAAGCGAGATAAAGCCCCATGTCAAGCTAGATGGCCAGATCAGATCAGATCAGGACGCATTTTTCCACCGAGTGTAAGGCTCATCCTCCCAGGGGCTGCAGCCTAGGCTACAGCCGCGTCAGGCTGCAGCCATGAGCTACGGAGCGGGGCGAGTTGAGATGACGGCAATTCGAAAAATCTGTCCACGGAGCCCTCCCCCGGGGTCCAGGACGGCGGACCCGGCGCGGACCCCTCCCGGGGTTCCAAGACCTCCCGCAGGGCACCGTCACCAGGCCCGAGCACAGCACTCGGGCCCCACGGCGGGCGCGGGGAGGGGAGGGAGGGGAGGGCGGGGAGGGGAGGGAGGGGAGGGCGGGGCCAGAAGGGAGGGCTGGGAGGGGAGGGAGGGGAGGGCGGGGCCAGAAGGGGAGGGAGGCAAAGGGGGGGAGAGAGGCCCCCCCTTGCCGAGGCGCCCGCCAGCACCCCTGACGGACAAGACCGAGCGCAGCTTCGGCAGTGCCAGCGGCCGTTGGCCCATCGAGCACCGTGGGCCAGGAGACAGGCCTTCACTGGTCCACGGGTTGGGGCTGTCCGCAGTGCCACGGGCCCTTTGCCACCCCTCTCTTCCCTGGCAACTCGGCTCCTTGACCTCTGCGAGCCTCCGTTCACGAGACGGCGAAATGTCGACGGAAAGGAAGCCTCCTCTCGTCCTCCTCCTCCTCCTCCTCCTCCTCCTCCTCCTCCTCCTCCTCCCCTTTCCCTCCTCCTCCCCTTTTCCTCCTTAGACCGCAGTCGAGGCGCGGGGCTCCTGGGCTGTCGGTCTAATGTGTCTATGATTTCTCGCGCCGTGGCTCGTTGTCTATGGAGCTTTGGGAGGGGGGGCGAGGGGGGGCAGATGTACGCTATGCGCGGTCGCGCCATCACCTGACATCATACAGGAATCGTACTACCATGAGACATGCTGAAGAAGCATCGAAGGGGCATGGCTAGCCATGGCGAGCCTCGGCTTCGAACATTTTCCCCGACCTGGATCCAAGGAACGGCTGGGAAACCTGAGCCCCTCCTGAGCCCGAAGTAATCCTCATTTCGCCTTCTTCATCCTCTTGTACCCTCCCGCCCATCCGTTTCCATTGCGCTGATTCTTCCAACAGCGGCCGTCCAGGCGGCCCTGAATTTCCAACTCAATAGTCTCGTCCAATGCATGCTCAGAAAAGGGAACTGTGTGCGTTGGAGGAGGACGAGGAGGAGGTGGTAGATCATCAGGAGGATGCGCCGGAGGAAAACGAGGACGACGATGATAGAGGAGGAGAGGTAGGAGGGGCGGGAGGAACGGGCCTTCGAGACGAGAAATCACGGAACTTCCTGAGCGTTGCAGCCGCTGGAAAGGCACCTGTGTGCTAAAACAAATGCTCAAAGTCGGCGGCGTTCGAGGCTGAATGCAAAGCGATACAAATGATATTACAAGCACACTAACAAAATTCTGTGGGGGGGGCAACACACTAACAAGACAGGCAATAACCCCCTGCGGGGGGAACTGCGATAGCAACACTTCCTGCGGGCGGCAATAGCGAGGGGTCAGTGCAGTATCAATACCCAGCTACTGCGCACTACAGTGCATTACACAATACTGCATCTGCGGGAGGTAAAATGCCAAAATCACTCTCCTTCCCTGCGGGCCTGACTTCGGGCCGCTCGACTCGGCCCAGAACGTTGTCTACCCGTGAGCCGTGGCCAACCTTCAGGGCTGGGTCGGGTCGGGTCCGGGAGAGGCCCTGGAGATCCTGGGAGGCCAGCGGCAATGCCAATACTCCCTGCGGGAGGCAATACAGTACCAATACTCGTTGCGCATGGAAGTAGGAACCCAACCTGGAATGTTGCCCAAGACGGGCGCTGGCCAACCTTCCGGGCTTGGTGCTCTTTGCCTCCTTGCCTCGTTGCCTACTCCTCCTCCCCCATCCATAGGGCGAAGAAGGAGGGAGGATGGGAACGCCTGCGCACGAATCAAGACACCCCGACAACAGATATCCTGGCAGAGGACCCGACCAGATGCAGTTGTGAATGCCGCGTTGTGGGTACCGATTCCGGTGGATCCCCCTATGGGGCCGCGGAGCGCGTGAGGGGTGTGCTGTGATAGGGGAGATGGACGCACGCGGTCGCGGCCATTGGGGTCTTCGGTGGAGCTCCCTATGGGACCACGACGCGCTGTACTGGTCGTGGGGGAGAGGGGGCGCATGCGGGCCGCGGTCACTGGGGCCTTCGGCGGAGGGCCACGAAACGCGGTACTGGGTCGCGGCCACTGGGGCTTTCGGTGGGGCTTCCGAAGTGCGTCACGACGCGCTGTACTGGGCGGCGCGGACGCATGCGAACTGCAGTGCCGGGGCCTCGAGACGGCGAGCCCGGCTCGCAAACGAGCACCCAGCTGCGTCCAGCCGTGGCGACGAGGGCCCCCCCCCCCCCTCTAAGGACAACGACCGTTGGCGAAAGATAGAACATAGTCAAAAAATACCCCCAAATGGTCAACAAAAATCATCAAAAATCGTCCCAAAACTATTTTTTGATTATTTTTGAACTTTCCTCCTGTAGAGGGACAGGCCCGACTTGAGGCTGCTGATCTGCTTCCCCCGAGCACGGGTGGCGGAGGCGCCCGGCAGCGCGGACGTATCTCCTCGTCGTCCGGGGAGTACTCGTGGTCGATGCCGATCCGGTAGTACGTCGGCCCGTGGTCCTCCTCCTCCTGTGGCAGCTCGACCCTCGCCCGGCGGCCTGAGGAGGAGGGGCGCTAAATGTGTTGCGCTCGGCCCTGAACTCTCGAGGGTCGAGAAGGGAGGCCTTGGACGCTTTCGGAAAGCGCTGGGCGCTTCTTGTGCCCTTGGGCCCTTGTGCCTCCGGAGGCCTCCCTGGACCTCCGAGGGTCAGGATCCGGGTCGATACTAATAGAACTTACTAGGAGGAGGAGCCCAGCTCCGAGCGTCATTTTTTGTCCCAACGTCGACCCCCAGAGATCTCGACCCATTCCCCAGGATTGGCTCCAAATTCTGAACCGATTTTGACGATCCCAAAGACTGGCGAGGGCCCCCCGAGGCCGAAAACAGAACAATAAAAAACGTAGTGTTCCCAACCATCCTGTAGCTGTGGACCATCGTTTTGAAACAGCAACGCCCCGCGACCTCCTCTTCCTCTGTCCTCCTCCCCCCCCTCCTCTTTCCTCTCCGCATCCACCGTCATCATCATCATCATCATCATCATCATCATCATCATCATCATCATCATCATCATCATCATCATCATCATCATCATCATCATCATCATCCTCATCCTCATCCTCATCATCATCATCATCATCATCATCATCATCATCATCGTCATCATCATCATCATCATCATCATCATCATCATCATCATCATCATCATCATCATCATTAGCATCATCATCATCATCATCAGCAGCATCATCATCATCGTCAGCAGCAGCATCAGCATCATCACCATAATCATGTCATCATATCACAATATCAGCATCATCATAATCGTCACCATCGTTATCATCAGCATCAGCAGCATCACCACCAACAGCATCATGATCATCACCTTCACCATCACATCATCAGCATCAGCATCAGCATCATCATCAGCACCATCAGCATCATCATACTCGTCGTCATTGTCATCATCATCAGCAACATCATCATCAACATCATCACCATCACCATCACCATCCCCATTACAAGCATCATCACCATCGATATCGCCATAGGCATATCCATGCACGTCGCCACCATCATCATCATCATCAGCATCATCATCATCATCATCATCATCAGCAGCATCATCATCAACATCAGCATCGTCATCATCACCATTACCATCAACATCATCAGCAACAGCAGCACCATCAGCATCCACACAAGCGGTTGCCATCAACATCAACAATGCCATCATCAGCAGCATGAGCATCATCAACCTCAGCGGTATCATCGTCTCAGCATCACCATCATCACTGCGTACATTATGATTCGTCACATGACGTAACACACACACACACACATACGCACTTCGCGGCCCCAGAGGGAGATCTACCGAAGGCCCCAGTGGCTGCGTTCACATGCGTACCCGCCGCAAATATCGGCACATCCCTCACACGACTCGTGCCCCCATGGGGAGTTCAACCTAAGACCACAGTGGCTGCGTTCACATGCGCCCCCGCTGCCAATCTCGGCACAGCCATCGCGCGCGTCGTGGCCCTAGAGGGAGCTCCACCTAGGGCCCCTGTGGCTGCGTTCACATGTGTCCCCAGAACAGATTCGGCGCATCCCTCTCACGCTGCCTGGCTCCATGGGGCGCTCCACCAAAGGCCCCAGTGACTCCGAATGCGCACCCACCGCACGTTTCGGCACACCTCTCGAACGTTCAGTGGCCTCATGGGAAACTCCACCTAAGACCCCAATTGCTGCGTTCACATGCGTCCCCGCCGTACATGTCAGCCCACCTCTATACGAGCTCCACCTAAGGCTCCAATGTGCGCTTTCACATGAATCCCCGCCGCGCACCCCTCACGCGCTTCGTGGCCTCAGCGGGAGCTCCACCTAAGAACCTAAGGCCCCTGTGGCTGCGGTCACGTGTGTCCCCAGAGCACATCTCCGCACGCCCCTCACACGTTTCGTGGCTTCATAACCAGCTCCACCAAAGACTCCAGTCGCTGCGTTCACATGCGTCCCGAGCACAGTTCGGCACACACCCCTCACGCGTTTCGTGGCCCCATCGCCCATAGAGGAGATCCACCGAAGGCTCCAGCAGGAGAGATCGCATGCGTCACTGCCTCACATTTCGGCGCACCCCTCAAACGTTTCGTGGCCCCGTGGCGAGCTCCACCGCAGACCTCAGCTGATAGGGGTCGCAAGCAGCCATGCCTCTTATTTCGACACACCCCTCACACGTTTTCTGGCCCTATGGGGAGCTCCACCAGAGACCCCAATGGCCGGGTTGGCATAGCAGCCGCCCCGTCATTTCGGCACAGCCCTCACGCGCTTCGTGGCCAAATATGGAACGCCACCCTAAGCTCCACGAGCGATCCCCGTGCCCCTCCCACTGATCGAATTGCCCTACAGGGGGCTTCTGGTCCGTTCGCCTTCCCCTGTTCACGCTGCCCTGTGCTCCGTCATTTCTGTGGTGCGCTGCCTCTTAGAAGAGGGCCGCGCCCGACGCTAGTCGTAGCTCCCTCGAAGGACGCAAGGCTGCCCTTGGGAAGCTGACCCATCCTTGTTATGGATTTTCACTGTCAGTGCTTCGAACAGTTGGAGGTCTGGGTACCTGCGCAGGGCGGGGACGGGAAGCAGACGGGGGTGGCCTGCCCTGCGCTCGCTCGGGTCCACCACGGGGATGGGCGGCGGCGGGACGCTCTCGTCCTCCTCCACGCCGCTCATCGGCTCCGGCTCGGGGGCCATCGCGGCAGGCTGCCCGGGCCCTGTGCAGCTCGGCCCAAAGAGGTGGGCTCTCCTGCGCCCAGACCTCCAACGTCTTGACGAATTGAACACGGACTTTTTTATTCGGTTTCGGCCTATGTGGGCCCTCGCCAGGCTCCGACCCTGTCAAAAACAAAAACTCGGGATGCAAAGCCGGCCCTGCGAGGAGGGTCGGGACGTCTGGGGACCCCGCACTGAACATGTCAAGACTTCGGATCTCTGGGTGCAACGCGCGCCGGGGAAGCCAGAACTATGGAGTCGCCACTCGAGCCTGAGCAGCCACATGCCACATCAGCGGCGGCGGGCGAGGCACCCTGTGCAGATGCTGCGACGCTGGGGTAAGCTCCTGTTGGAGTCTGGGCTCCTGGGCAGAGGGGCGTTCCATTTGAAGCAGGCCATCGGGGGCAACTCGCATGGTGTTCAAGCCAAGGGGCGCTGGCTGGGGCACAACACCAACGCTTCTCCTGGATAGCAAGGAAGATGAGTATAGTCGGGTGGATGGGACGGACGAGGAGATCTCAACCTCCGAGCTTGCAAAGTTACCGCATCAATGCTCACAGCGTTCTGCATGACTTGAGCAACAAGCAAACGATACAGCATGCATGGGCTTCCTCGGCTATGAGATGATTGGGGCTTTTATGCTGCACGGCGGCGAAACAAGACTGAAAAGACGGCTCAATCCTCATGTTCTCGGCGCCCATTACCTGTTCGGTCAGAGCGTGAATCCAGGGTCGCTGCGAGCCTGTGATCTGACGTGCCCCACGCTCGCAGACTAGCTGCTAGCTGCTAGCTGGACCGTCCGATCTAAACCAACGATCGCAGACTGTGCACCCGCACCGGCGCGCATGTCTTTTTGCAACCGCAAACTCGCCACCCTTTCGGCTCGCATCCGTGCGACTCTCGAACACCGTGGCCGACGTCCGCCGCCACAGCGGGTCCACGAGGGCGGCAGGGAGGGAACGGAGGAACGGAGGGGAGGGAGGGAGGGAGGAAAAAGCAGGGGAGGGAGGAGGGACAGGAGGAACAGGAGGGGAGGCAGGGGGAGGAGGGGAGGGAGGAGGGAAAGAGGGGAAGGAGGAGGAGGAGGAACAGGAGGAGGAGGGAAGAGGAGGAGGAGGAGGGAAGAGGAGGAAAGGAGGAAGGAGGAGGAGGAGGAGGAGGAGGAGGAGGAGGAGGAGGAGGAGGAGGAGGAGGAGGAGGAGGCCAGGAGGGAGCAAGGAAAAAGGAGGAGGGGGAGGAAGGGCGGGAGGAGCACGGCCCGGGGCGCTGTGGGGAGATCCCATGCGGCCGGAGCGGCCACTTGCGTGGCGCAAGAAAGCACAACGGACAACGGCAGCCCTCCACGGAAGGGAGAGGAAGAGAGAAGACGACAAGCCACAGCGGGGTGGCGCACATCCTGATAGAAGAAATCGCCCCCAGTTCGACCAGCGAAAGCGGAAACCGCAAGAGAGGGAGATGGCGAGAAAGAGAGAGAGAGAGAACAAACAAAAGAAAGGGAGCGAGAAAAGCAGCAGAACGGAATGGACGCAAGATCTCAGCGCAAGGCTCCGATGGAGGGCCAGACCAGGGAGGACGGGCTGCGACAATCGAGTGGACGGCCGAGAAACAGAGGCGACCGCGCAGGCAGCTGTCGCCCAAGGCATGCGGCCCGGCGCGCAGCCGAGTCCAAGCGCGCAGGGCATGGCACGTGGGGCAGGGAGCGTGAGCGTGCGGGGCTGCCTGGAAGAGGCATGCAAAGCAAAACAGCGTGAAGCACGTAACATGCAAGAGAGGAGACGGAGGAGACGGAGACGGAGACGGAGGAGGAGGAGGAGGAGGAGGAGGAAAGAGGGGGGGGCAACTGCTCGTACGCGCCCTGCGTCCTGGTGCAGGAGGGCCGTCCACAGCAGTGCGCAAATACCCGGCCATCAGCACAGAGTAGAAACCGGGCCTGGAGCTCCGAATTACTAGATTCGGGGGGGGGGGGAGCGAGGACGAGCCAGGCAGAAGAGGTAGAAAGCTGCCCGGCGATCCGCCTCTGGGAGGCGAGAGCGGGAGGAGAGAGACGAGAGATGGGGCTGCGCTCGATTCTCTCCAGCTGATGTCCAGAAGTATCCTGCCAGACCACGCGCTCTTCAGCAGGACAGGGAAAGTCCGCCGATCCGGCGTGTGAGTTTCAAGGAGTCTCAGCTACAGCCTCGAGGCTGAGCTTCAGCCTCTGGGGGGGTCGCCGGGGTGGCTCTGCCGGGGAAGGGGGGGTGGGGGGGGGGGGGGGGGTGCGAGTTTCCGGCGAACCCCGGGGCCGCTCCGGGGGAGTGGAAGATAGGGGGGGGGGGGGCGCCATGCTCCGCTTTTTCCGGCGCTTTGGAGGAGGGGGGGGGCCCAAGAGACCCCCAAGGGGTTCCAAGAGGGCCCCGAGTCGCCGAAAAATCGCTCCAAGACGCCCGAGATGGCCTCCAGACGGCCCAAGGTGTCTCCAAGACGCCCCAAGAAGCTTCCAAGAGGCCTCCCAAGAGGGCCCCAAGAGGCCAGAATCGTTGATTTTCATTGGTTTTTTCAGGGTTTTTAGCGTTCTTGCCTTTTCGGGCGTCCGACGCTCGAAGACGGCCCAAGAGGCCCCCAAGTCCGTCCCAAGACGGCCCACGATGCTTCCAACACGGCCCAAGAGAGCCCCAAGACGGCCCAAGAGGGCCCCAAGACGGCCCAAGAGGGCCTCTGGACAGCCCAAGAAGGCCCCAAGAGAGCCCCAAGAGGGGCCCAAGAGGGGGACCACGAACCGAAAGAACCGAGCTTTCCGCCCCAAGAGGCCCCCAGGAGGCCCCAAGAGACCCCCAAGGGGCCCCAAGAAGCCCACAAGAGGCCCAAAAGAGGTTCCAAGAGGCCCCAAAACAGCTCCCCAGAGGCCTCCAGACTGCCTCCGGCAGGCCCCCGGTTTCTTCCGCGGCACCGCCCAGGGCGCCACCGGCAGGATGTCCTCCGTCTCATCGTTTTCCTTCAAGTTATCGCCTCTTCCTCATTCTCCTCCTCCTCCTCTGCGACCTCACTCCTATCCCTCAACGATCGCGTCACCGAGTGCCTCTTCTTTGAAACATCCTCGCTCTTCAAACGCACATCCATACACACATGCATACATACCTACATTTAAACACATTTGCATACATAGAAAAACAATCTTCCAGACATACATACTTACATTCACACACATACACACATATTATCATACACACATACAAACATACATACAAACTAAATACATACATACGCGCACAAGCATACATACATACATACGTACCTACACACAGGCACACATGATCAATGCATGCATACATGCATGCACGCGTACATACACACACATATATCGTGAAACTCACCGCGTGCTCGAAACTTGAGAGAGACCGCGGGAAGTCGAGAGAAGCCGCGGAACGAGGCCTCTACTACTACTACCACTACTACCACAACCACTACTACTACTACTACTACTACTACTACTACTACTACTACTACTACTGCTACTACTACTACTACTACTACTAATACTACTACTAGTACTACAGGAGCGTTTCCCAACTAGTATGTGTGTGTGGGTGATGCTGTGTGCGCATGTCTGCGGCGCAGGTTAAGTGGTGTGACTGTGTGTGTGCGTTTGAGTGTGCGCCCATAATTTCTGCGTCTGGAGAATAACCCCGAGCGACCCGGATCGGCGGCACTGGCCGAAGGCCACTACAATAACACCAAGAAAACGGTCGGGCGATTGCTTTCGTAGAGCACCCTCTTGCAGGGCGGCCTGCCCGCCCTCCAGACGGCCAGCGCCGCACGGCCCCGCCACAGCTACCAGGCCCGGTCGTAACGCGCAGGCACTCCGCCAGCGGGGCCGCGGGAAGAGGTCTGACCTGCCTGGCTCGCTCAAGCGCGCTCGGCCTAACCATGCCCACGGTACCACCAGCCTGCCCTCGCAGACTCGGGGGGAGGGAGCACGAGGAGGCCGCGCTGTGATGTACGATGCCACCTCAGTGCAGGCTGCATAGAGATCGCTTCTTACAGGGTCGGGCGATAGCTAACCCAGGCTGTCGGGCCCCGACCCTCCAGATAAACTAGCCTTGGAGGGCGCGACCTTTGCTGGTGACGTCCACCGGCCGTGCACGTGGTGCGTGCGTGCCCCTGCGCGCGCGTGTGCACAGGCCGATGGCGTATAGATCCCCATGTGGCACGAACTGCCCACTACAAACCTTCGCAGCATCGACCGGCACACCTGAAGAAGCCAACAGATACCGACACCGCTACGCCCCGGCCCTCTCCCCGTCGCGTTCTGACCACAGCTCCGAAGCGAGTCCAGCGGCGGCGGCGAGTGCCTCCCAGGCGGCTCCAAAAGGCGAAAACGAGGCACGGGTGGCGGGGTCGGTTCCACTGCATCTTCTGGACGCCACCACCCCGCCCCAGAAGGACGGAGGGAACCGCGAAGACAACTCACGGAACGCACCTACACAGCGCTGGTAGCATCTGCAGCTCCGGGAGGCAGCTGCCCAGAGGCCGCCGACCAAGCCGCTTCGAATTGCCTTGGGCGCCACAGACACATAGTGTATCACATCGCGGTATCGGAACACTTCTCACGCTCTGGGCAATTGTCCTCCCTAATCCCCATTATCCACCATACCCTCCTTGTCCACTCTCCCTTATCGTCACCTCTCCTCCAATTCCAATCCTCATCTGTCACATCCTTTTCTTCCGCGTTCTAATCTGGATGGTAATTCGCCTCATCCTATTTCTTCCGCGTTCTAGTCTGGATGGTAATTCGCCTCATCCTATTCTCCCTCCTCCGCACCCCTTCTTATCCTTCGCCTTCTCACGCGAGGTTTCCCCATCCCACCGCTGCATGAGGAAGTCGTCACAACAGGATCTTGCGCGTTGAGCCACGCGAGAAAGTCCACTATCGGCGCGTCAATCGACCCTTTCGGACTTCTGTCCAGAGATGCTAAAATCTGGAGATTGCTTTTCGAGCGAGGGCTAAAACATCACAAAGATCAAGCAAATCCAACTCGACCTCATCTTGATGGTTCTGGTCGCCCACACTGGCCTCGTCGCCCACATGGTACGTCTGTGTGTTCACCCTTTCCTGATTCGATACCTCCGTGTGGGACCAATCGCCCAGGAAATGGCGGTGCGTAGGTGAAAACATGTGGATTGCATTACTTTCGAATTATGTGCTACCCCTGGCTTGCTAGCTTGCCGAGGTAGTGTCCCACAAGGGGCAAAAGAATGCAACTGCAATATCCCGGCATCCCCTCTTCTGGCCCCACCCCCACGATCTTCCCATATCAACTACTCCTCTTTACTGCCAAACAGGTGGAGACAACTACGGTATTGGCCCCCCCCCTTCCGTACTAACCGTTTGCAACTGCACGCGGCCAAAATCCGAAATGCGAATTCCAATTCCACAAGCGGGCATGGTGCTGAACGCCGAGAATGACAGAGCGAATGCGCTGCGTCGCGTACCTGAGCCGCTGTCCATTTGGATCGGCACACTTCGCAACCTCATTGAAGACCCCTTGATACCGTGGAACCCACATGCTGTCGTCGAAGAGCCGAGTATATGTTCGACTGCGAAGGTGGCTTTCATTATGCGAATACAATGTTAAAAGAAGCCTGCCGCCAGCGAGAAGAGTGCCGGCGACGGCGGCGGCGGCGGCGACGACGACGACGACGACGACGAGGACGACGACGACGACGAGGACGAGGACGACGACGACGGCGACGGCGACGGCGACGGCGACGGCGACTGAGACCGCGCGACGGCGATGACGACGAAGACCGCGCGGCGACGACCACGGCGACGGAGTCCGCGCGGTGGCGACATCGACGGAGGCCGCGACGACCACGTCCAAGCAAGGGGGCACAACAAGATACCGATAACCGCTAGTCCACGGACCTTTCCCGGGGCACGCTCTGACCAGTATCGAGGATGAGCAGGCCGTGGCGACGAGGGCTCTCCAGGACGAGCAGTGGTATCGGTATCGCTTCTTCCCCTGGAGAGGAGACGCAGCCTTGGCCCCAGCAGCAGCGGGCCGAGAGGGCCTGCAAGGGCGGCAGCACGCAACGACCACGTCACAAATTACGGCCCGCAAGTGCGGAAGGAGGGAGGAAGAGGAGGAGGAGGAGCAGGAGGACAAGGAAGTCCGGGCGAAGAAGGGCGTCCTGCCGCTTCCGCAGCTGGAACTCCCGGACGGCCGCCGGCGCCGGGCCCCCCGCTGCCCCGCCGGGGCCGCCTGATGCTCAGGCACTCCTCCTCCTCCTCCTCCTTCTCCTCCTTCTCCTCCACTTCCTCCAATCCTTTTCCTCATGAGTAACTTCTCCCTGTCGCACCCAGAGGCAGGTTTTTAGGGCGGGCCGGGCGTTTCGCCTGAGACGTCCTCACCGTTTATAATCCTGAAGCTTGAACATTGGCAACAGTTTCATGCATGGAGGGTGGGTGGTTTTCAAAATGTGGCTCTCGCCTTCGCGCCGCGCACATTCGTTTTTTTTAAGCAACTGTTTCACGGATTGAAGGCGACCCGTTTTCAAAATGTTGCTCTCGCCTTAGCGCCGCGCACATTCGTTTAAAACCAATTGTAAGTGTTTCACAGGTTGAGGGCGGGTGGGGTTTTCAAAATATGTCTCTCGCCTAAGCGCCGCGCGCATTCGTCTAAGAAAATGCAAGAGTTTCACGGATTGAGGGCGGGTGGTTGTTCAACATGTGGCTCTCGCATTAGCGCCGCGCATAGATGTTTTTGTTTGGACTGTCAGAGTTTCACGGATTCAGGGCGGTCCCTTTTCAAAGAGTGGCTCCCGCCTTAGCGCCGCGCACATTCGTTTTTGTAATATTTACAAGAATTTCACGGATTCCCATTATCAAACTATCAGAAATAATGTTTTGGAAGGATTCCGGATTTTGCAGGTGCAACAGTTCAGTTGATGTCAGGTGATGAGGTCATAAGAATGCCAGTCTATCACGATTCTGGATCGTCAGTACAGAAGAGAGGCCACCTGGGTGCACAAGCCGTACCAGGGATGCGCCTGACTTCCCAACGGGACACATGGTAGGCTCTGGCCGATGGGTCGATCTGATGCTCTTCCATCATATTGTCGACGTCAAGCTCGTTATGGCTGCTCTCGGCCGAGGAACTGATGACCTCCGCTGGTGGCTCGGCGCATTCACCGAGTGAAACATGCTGACTGACCACGCGCATCCACGGGGTGAGGTGCCGCTTGGGGGCGCTGGTGGACCCATTATGGAGGTTGGGCAGTGACGGCATGGCCATGGCGACGACGGTCGCGATTGGCGCGGCAACGATGTTGGCAATGACGATGTGACCAACCCTTAATCCGATGCACCCCCCGAGGTGACTCAGTGAGATTATGGAGGCTGGGTTCGCCTGGGCCGTGTGAGCTTGCGGCCCGCGTGACCTGCCGCGGCCGCTTTCGCTTGGATTCCTCGCGGTGGCTGGCGGCGCGCTTGCGTCCTGCCTTCCCTGGGGGCCCGCTCCGGCGTGGCCCCCTGTCGGCCGCACTGGCCAGTGCTTTGGCGGTCGTGGTCTGTCGTGGTGATGGGTCCGCGCCTCGCGCTCCCCATCCCACCCCCAATCTGCCTTCGCGTCCCTCCTCGCTCCTCTCCCCTCGCGCAGGTCGGGCGGACAGGTGGCAAGAGTAGTCTGACTACAGCACCCCGCCCCGCCCCAGAATGGCGGACGGCCCCTGCCCATTCCGTCGCTGTGCGCGCCCCTCCCTCCCCTCCTCCTTCACTTCCTCCCTCCCTCCCGACCCCGCCCACCATCCCCTCCTCCGGCCCCCCCTGCCCCCTTTTCCTCCTTCTCCTCGTCCATCCTCCTCCTCCCCCCAATCCCCTCTCTGACCCCTCTGACCTCTCTGACCCCCCTCGTCGCCACGCTTCACGCCCTCCCTCCCTCCCTCCCTCCCTCTCTCCCCGTCCCCTCCCCTCCCCTCCTCTCCCCTCTGGAAAGACACCGCTGCTGCTAACAGGGGAAACGTCTGCCCCTGACTCCACCTTCGTGGGGGTGTTCGACTGGACCAACAATTTGGGGCCCAACTCGGGGACTTACAATAAGGGGGGACTTACAATAAGGGTTGCGTCCGAATAGCTCCCCGAGGGTGTACTCCCGAGCCCCCCTTCTTCTCTGAGAAGCTTTTTTCTGTTTCTTTTTTGTTTTTTTCAAAAGCCATGCAGCACAAAGTCTCAGGACGCCGCTGTGGTGTCCTGCCTACGCCGCCGTTGAGCCGAAGGGCCAACAAACTCTATTAATCGATGTGGTCGGACAAAAAGTCGGGTCTGCTGGCCGCCGGGTCAGAAGCTTTCCAGATGAGCTCCGACAGCGGGACAGTTTCCCTCCCTGGCGCCAGGAGGAACTGCGGCAGGTCCTCCCCCTGGGAGTCCTGATGCAGGTGCGTGCCGAAATTCCACTCCTGAGACTTGCCCCAGTTGGATCTGAACCGCTTGACCTGCAGCTCGATGGCCTGCCGCAACTGCTCCACGTCGCCCCTGTCGCCGCACAGCTGCTCCTTGGCCTGCGTCTTGCTCCTCGTCCACCCCTGCGACACTGACCGCGGCATGAAGCCAGACGAATAGAGGACCAGACATGCTTGTCCAGCACTGATCTCGTGCACCTCCGGGGACGCGGTGTACGTCTCCAGCGCCATCTGCAGCTGTCCGTTCACCGGGTCCCAGTCGACCGCCTCGAATGGCTTCTCAGCGTCCCTGCCAAATGGGTCCACTCGGCCGAAGCGCGGCTTGACCAGCCGCAAGTAGCCGCAGCTAACGACGGCAACCACCTGCGAGTCCTTCGGCAGGCCGGGCTCACCGCCCTCCAGCTTGCGCTGGAACTTGCCGACGTAAAACGTGTAACCGAAGTCCTTCGAGGGCCTGGGCGCCAGCAGGGGTTTCAGGAAGCTGCCCACGTCCAAAGACACCTCGACGGCCGCGGTGGCGTGCACCCGCAGCCGCCCGCCGGCGCCCTCCGCCTCGAAGGAAACTCCCGAGGACAGCAGCGGAATCCACTCGCTGAGGCTGATTTTCGGGGCGGCCTCGGTAGGCCTCGCCAGCGCCGGCGGCACTGGCCCGTCCAGCGCCGTGTCGGTGCCCTTCCGGGGTCTGGAAGACATCGGCTCCTCCACGAGGCCCTCGGCCTTTGGCGGGGTCTGCTTCAAGGTCATGCCCTCGTCTCCGAAGTCGGAGGTCTTCGCGATCACGAGGTCGCCGCTGGGCGTCAGCTTGGCGTTCGAGCCCGGCCAATTCGCCTCCCAGTTGGGCTGGAAGGACGGGGGCAGCTTGATGCCGAGGTCGCGCACCCTGCCGCCAAGCTTCCAGACCTTGCCCTCCGACGCGTTCGCGGTGGCCTGGACCCTCACGTTCTGAAGCTGCACGGTGTCGATCCCCAATTCGCCGTCAGCGAGATGAAGACCACTCCAGCCGATAACCGTGTCGGGCGTGCCATCCTTCGGCTTCGCCAGCGTTTGGCCACCGCCACCTCCCGCCGCCAAGGCGTTGAAGAAGCCGCTGGGGATCCTCGCGTCCTCGTCCGCCCGGAGCTCGGCCCGCACGAGGCCCTGGTCCGCGGAGGCGGCCCAGCCGACGTGGCCGCTCCCCTGCAGCTTGAGGCCCTCGAAGGCCGTCGTGCCGCCTTCCGAGCCCTCCAGGAATGGCTGCAGAGTCTTGATCGTGTTCTCGGAGAACTCCTTCGTTGCCTTCATGATATCTTCCTCGATCTTCGTCTTGTTGAACTCTTGATCGTAGTCTGTGAAGTCCACGCCGTACCTGCCGAGGACGGCGGCGAGGGTGTCCTTGTTATTCTCCCACAGCTCCTCCAGGTTGTGCCGGGCCAGGAGACTCTTGATCTTCCGCTCCGCCACCTCCGCGGGCTCATAATAGTCGATCAGGAACCCCAGCACCTTGTCGGGCACCGCGTCGAGGTCGAACTTCGCAGTCACATTC